ACTTGGAAAAATTATCTGTGGGAACCAACCTCCCCATAACATAATTGAGGAAGACCTGGAACTAATGCTAAGTGACGAGCAACACACCAGTTAGCTACTGTCTTGACGTGATGGTCAGGCTTGCATATCTAACTGACCCAACGAGCTATGCTGGCGGTGCACTTGTTTCTTCGAGGGCCCACGATACCACAAAGGTCTGCTCGATAGTGATGAAGCGAAAAGCATTTACCACTGTGCTGTGAATTTATATACCATGGTGAGGGTTTCAGGATGAGGTTGTACTGCTGCTAGCTGGGTGGGATATGACAGCGGTAAGGTGCTCCCCTTAGATGACCGGCAGTGCCATGCTGCCTCCTATGTGGAAGGGGACGTTAGGAAAGGTTGGCCACAAGATAAACACACTCCTCCATGCCACACGGTCTACCGGCCGGCAGTGTTGGTTCATTTGTTGTTTCCTCTCGACCACCCAGCTCAAAAACAACAAAAGCACAAGAAAACACACACAAGAGGCTGCGTGTGATAGGTCTCATGCAGATGTCCAACGGGCTCTGCGGTCACACAAATTTCTTTTTTAGGTACCTTAAGAAGACATAGCCTTCCACGGTGAGCAGCCGGTACGTGTCAAGCAACCTCACAACTCTGTCAGCACTCAAGTTTCCTCAAACTACTATCCACCTCCCCACCATTGCCTTCTAATCTTCCTTCACCTCTTTCAACTAACGATACTACATCATCTTCAATTTCTCCTAGCTCAGCAACCTTCGACAACGATCTGAATACACAGAACGGCATCCCTGGTCTCCTTAAACCATGCTACAAATTACATATTGGGGGCCTCAAGGTCTGTACCTGCCATTAAGTTGGTCAACAGGCTTCGTTGGCCAAGACTAGCAACCTGGGCCATGGATGTGTGCTGTGTTTGTGAGACAAGCACACGGGAACCAAGTGCGGTTATTCGCCCGACCCCTATCGGTCAATCCAGTGAATCCACGAAAGTCGCCGTTTGAGTTTCTGGAGATTCGACAGCCAGCCCTCGCGGTCTTGTAGGTGTATGCATAGCACTAAGGCGGAAAACTCACTGTTGACTGGGTCTCAACTGATAGTCGCCTCCATGCTGTCCAGCTAAAAGGCACGGTGAGGACTAAAGAGAATAGCAATACAAGCCGTTGCCTCTTTTTAATATCCACTCACGTACCCACTGACTGCGGCTAGGATATAGTGGAGGACGAGGTCTACCGAAAACTGTCTGGCCTCTCCTCGAAAGCCAAACGTTCAGACGTGCTGGTTGTTGCAGGTAACTTCAATGCACAAGTGGGTAGACTGAGAGAGACAGAAAAACACTTAGGTGGCACTTTCGGAGTCACAGTTGACCGTACAAATAGCAGTGATCACCCACCGCAACTGTGCTCAGATAACCGTCCATTTTTAGCCAGCACCAATTCAGACATAAAGAAAGACACTGTCCGACGTGGCGTCTACCGAGCTCAACTCGGCGATGGACACAGATAGACCACACTGCTACTAGTCGTCTTTGGAGAGGATCGGTGGAAGAGTGCCGTTTCTTTTCGAGTACGCGTTTGGACAGCAATCACGCATTGGTCCGAGCGAGTACAGGCCTGTGCCTCAGTGGACGGAGGAATAATTTGGCAACAAAACCACTACGGTTGCAGCTTGACAACGAAAATACCAAAGCTGCTTTCAGTGAGAAATTGGCTGGGCAGTTGTCGAAACAGAGCACCATCAATCACTCAGAAGAAGCCTGGTGTTATTTCCAGTCCCCTATAAAGGCAGCGCTGAAGACTGTAGCCGACTCCAAAAGAGTGGCTAAAAAGAGCCAGTGGATACTAGCAGCTTCCTTCGAACTAGTGGATGCACGTGAACGCATCACTGCGGGCCCTGAGTACAATGAAGAACGAGCGCAACTTGAAAGAAAATTGAGAAAAAGTCCACGCAACGATCGCGAACAATGGTGGGCAGCGAGGCCTGAAGAGGTGTAAAAGGCGGCAGCGATCGTTGACATCAGACAGCTATTTAGACTTATTAAGGAGATTGGGGGCAAAGGTCAACAACGGTTAGTGAGACCATAGCGAAGATCTGCGATTGATCTGCAGAGGAGACGACTTAGACGATAGGAAAGACATCTCGAGGAGGAGCCTAACTGGCCTCCACTCACCACTGCGCTGCCGCTATCTGGTGAAATCCTGAATGGAGCATTGAGATAGGCCCCCTAAAACTAGCAGCAGCAAAGAAAGCAGCAGGTAACCTGAAACAAGGACGGACGGCAGGACCAGACGGACTGACTCCCGGGGGTATACAAGGACGGTGGTAGGGTGCTCTTAGTCACGTTACTGGAAGTGTAAACAGGCATATGGGAATCAAATGAGATCCCCCCTGACTGGCCTAAATCCTCGATTATTCCAGTCTTCAAAAGTGACGAGAAGTCCTCTTGTGATAACCACAGAGGAATCAGCCCAATGAATATAGTGTCAAAGAATCTGAGGGAAGCTCAGGAACAGCAAACTCGAGAAAACCAGGCGGGTTTTGGACCAGACCGCAGATGTATCGACCAGTTATTTAAGCTGCGCAAGGTCCTAGGACAGGCACGCCTGCCGACGCCCGACAATAGCTTTATTTCTCTACCTGAAGGCAGCGGCGCTCCACTCCGTCGGTCGAGAAGTCTTATGGCAATATCTCTGGCTGAAGGGCGTGTCAAGTAAGTGCATCACCTCACTGAAGGCTCTCGACTCGAACACTAGTGGGCAATAGAGCCTATGGTGAGATGTCCAGGGAGCTGTGCTGGTCGAGTGGTGTTCGCCAAGGGTGCTCATTCCCTCTATTCCCACTCAATTTTATCATATATATTCTTATGGGGACCCCCTTCTCGTCACCTGACTACACAGAGGTCGGCCTAATCGCTGCGAGACTTTTGCCACCTGGAATACTCAGATGGCACAGTCCTGTTAGATGAAGACGCTGACAAGATGCAGAGCCCTCCAGACACTTTGAGTGGCAATTTGGGAATGTTTGGGATGCATTCCTCACCACCCAAGTGCAATCTGTCGCTCCATGACTGGTCTTCAGCGGCGCCTCAGCTAGCAATAGGGTATGGTGGTTGAGTTTGTTGACCAGTCCACTCACCTGGAAAGTGGAATCAACCCTACCGGCCCAGTGGACGATGAAATCTCCACACGAATGCATAAGGCTCAGCTGGGTATTGCCAACTTACGCCACCTGTGATGCCTGATTGTCTATTAAAAGTCGCGTATACTGCACGGCAGCCTGCTCCGTTCTACTGCATGGCCGCGAAACATAGCCACTGAAGTTGGAAGACATCAGAAGGCTTTAAGTGTTTGACCACCGTTGCCTCCGTAGTATAGGCCGTATTTCGTTGTCACCACGTGAGCAACACAGAAGTCAGGCGTAGAGTTCTAGGGAGGAGAGGTGTCAGCTGACGAGGTCGTGAACCCTCATCGACTGAGATGGTTGGGAAATGTGGTACATACGCCTAGTCACCGAGTGCTTCGTTACACAATGTCGGTGGAAGTAGGTTCAAGCTGGTAGAAGGCCCGAGGCAGTCAGACTAAAAGATGGCACCAATCTGTGAAGACGACCATTGATTTGGGCCAAGTGGGGCGACATAGACTGGCCGATTAGGGTTTACGGGACAAGAGAATCCAGGGCTGGGGACTCTAGATGATATAGCTCAGAACCGAAGTCAGTTGGGCAGATGCATACACACATTCTCCTCATCTTAATGCTGAACCGAATCTCGCCATTTTCTCAATCCTCTCTCCTTCATTTTAGTACTACATATTTCTTCTGACTGAATTCTTTTTTCACCTCTCACTTCGCTGTCTTGTACTTGATTTGGCGATATGGACTGCAGCAACTCGGACGGTGGCTCTGTGATATCTGGTGCCATGTTTATTTGGATGGATGGACTAAATACCTGCAAAGCTCACGCAAAACTACACTTTATGCTCAGAAAACTAGGCTCCCTAACCTCAAAAATCTTTGCTAAGTTGTACGAAACCCAGTACGACTTCGGTCAGCGGTCCACAACGTCATTGCATCAACACACCAGAAGAGGTGTGAACATCCCGGGAAGAGTTCACAGGCGAGTAATAAAAGGTGTCAAGAGGATGCGGCAAAAAACCTACGAGAATTGGCTAGAGGACCTGAGGCTTTACTTTGTTAGTTACCTTAGGCTGCCTGGCGACTCGATAACGACGTACCAACTGCCTATTAACGGAAACAGCTGAATTCCGTAGGACGGTCACCGTGTCAATCCTCAGATAAACCCAAAGGGAGTCGGCCACCAACTTGCGAAAAGCCCTCTTCGTTCACATTTTTTGCGGTGCAAATTTACGGCCAGTGGAACAAGCTGTCCGTTAAGATTTCTACTGCTTGTCTTGGCAACAGTCTCAAGAGGTTGGACAGCTACTTGGAGATACATGGCTTGCACTCATTCACCTGGGATACCAACTGAGTCAATACAACCAGCTGATTCCATACCATTCTGGCTCAGCCAAACGCATACCGAATGTTGTACTACCACTATTATCCCTAATTTGACTCCATCATATATTACCCTGCTAAATGTTTCACCCCTGGCTCACATAACTACCATCCACTGCTAATATAACTGTTTCTATTCACATTTTCCGTACTAAAACCTTACCTGCTCTTTCTGACAATGATTTCACCGTGTTTATTCAGGTTCTCCTCTCCAACGCCTTGTTTCCTGTTTTTCTTCGATCTGTCCAAGTCTCTGCTTCCATTCAAACGCTTTGTAGGTTTAAATATCAGCCAACCGCCCGTCGGGCATACTAGAGCTCCAGCAGATGAGTGGGTCGATCTACTGCACTTGAATGAACCAGAGACGTGGAACTGATCCTCAAGATCTAAGAGAGAGCGTGAAGAAACCAAATGACTTACACAAGCTTGTAAAAAGATAATGAAAGCAGAAGAAAGAGATTTGTTTGAACGTTCCATGTTTTGTACGCTATGAAGCTGTGGTGAAACAAAATCATAGTAACGGTTACACGCAACATTGTCGATTATCAGAACTAAGCCATTGTCACTGTGACGAAATTTTCCAACCAGAGTGGACTCCTGAAAATGAATAATGACGATAATAAATCAGATGAAGAAGACTTCTTCTCTAAATTCGGACAGTATGAAGCCGAGCGTGCAAGAAGGCGCACAGAACTGGTCCAAGATTATCTGGAATTCAAGAGGAAAGAAGAGGAAAGCTTTTACAACAGATTTTCCGATAAGAAGAAGCAGTTTAATTCCCATCAGAAGTCCGGTGTGGGCTTTCGACAGGATGCAAAATACACTAAGAGCGAACAAAATAGTTCCGAAAACACTGACATGGGGTACCGACTAGCAGAATTAGAAAGAAAAATCAACAGTCTTTTTGCCGACAAAACTGCGGAGCTCCAAATCAGTAGGCAACCTGAGTATGTTTAAGTTTTATTGCTTCAAGTAACCTGAATTTTTAAAACTATTGTAATAGTTTGAGTGATAAACATTTAGTATCATGCGATGGCAGTATCAAAAACTCTGAAGAAGTGGAGAAGACCCTTCCTTTTGATAATTTTCGCCCTGACACTGGGTAAGTTCTGTTTATGGCTTATTTGGCAGCAACAGATTTGAAGAAGACTTGAGGGAACGTCTTCGTCAAATTTCGGAGGCGGATAAGCGCCTGAATCTTATCGAAGAAGAATATAACAAACTTAGGTTTGTTGATAGCCAGTATGCAGTGGACAACTTGAAGAATGGAAGTTTAGCACTACAGTCTGTTGCGAAAACTAGTGACAGTGAAGAAATATACTTCAAAAACAGGCAGAAGGCACAGTATAGAAGAGAACTTGATATTCAAATTGCGGAAACAGAAAAACGACGTTTAGACGAAAAGGCAGAGGAAACGAAATTGACTTCAGAACGCTGTAGACCTTTTTGTATAACTGAGACTTTGCAATTCTCCTCGAATAGTGGACGTTTAAATGAAAAAGTCCCATCCCAAGCAGAATCAATGTATTTTGATATAGGAGAAAGAGATTTACTGGGAACACAAACATCATACCCTGAAGCAGTATGTAGGAAGTTCAGTAGTAATAGCAGTCTGAAGACGAATGTACCGAACTCGGCGGAATTAAAATTAAAAAAGATGCAATATGCTGAAGAGTTGAAGAAGCAAATTGAAGAAGCAAAAGCAAAAAAGGCTCAGCAAAAAAGAGAAGACGAAGAGTATAATAGAAAGATTGAAAAACAAAGTTCGAATTTAAAGTTATCCAGGGATAGTGATCCTATACAACAAAACTTGAAGTCCGGTTGCACTGAGAAGTCTAACCAACAGTCTTTATTGGGCTCAAATGCATATATCGACATGAAGCTTGAGAATAACAGAGAACCTAAAGGGATGTTACAGCCTAACTTTGCTAGAGGTGGTCATGGGATTTTCGGTAGCCCATTAACTGAAGCTCAGAAATGCACTCTTCAGCAATACAAAGAAGAATTAGCAAAACAGATTGCAGAAAAACGCTGTATTATGGAGCTTGAAAAACGAAAGGAGATTGAACTTGAAAGACGTGATACAGAAAGGATTAGGGCGGATCAAATAAAAATGCAGAAAGAATTTGAGATGGAACAAGCACGGAAAGATACTTGGATTAAGAAGACTATGCAACAGCCAGAAACTAAGGAGAGCGAATACAACGAGAAAGTTTGTAAGGGAAAGCAACTAGAAGGGAGGACAAAACCCATACAGAAAGTAGGCATTAGGTGTAATCGACGACCAAAAGCGTCATCATCACAAAAGTTTAGCCCGACAAGTAGCCCAGAAATCTTAATTGGTCCAGAAGCCACTAAACTAAGTCAGATGAAAGAGGCTGGTAGCGGCATAACTAAAAAGCACAGTAGTGAGAAGACACAGTATGTCCTGAAACAACTGAACACTCTAAGAACTCAGTTGGATATGGAAAAGTCTAAAATTGAGTCAACCTACCATCAGCAAAAGCAGACAAATTGCTATGATAAGAAATCTGTAGAAGATGCTTCTGCTAGACACCGGTCTAGACCTCAAATGAACAGAAAAGCCATAAAAATGTTTCAGGACTCTTCGAACGTAGGAAAAAATTACATTTCTCAATCACCATATGAAGATGAATTCACGGGCAGACCTGTTAAAGAAGACTTATCAGATATCTGTCAAAAACAGGTCACACTCCTAAGAAAACAAGACAATTACCTTAAAGAGCTCAGAAGAGAATTTGAACAGAATATTAGCCAGAAAAATAGTGCTAATTTATTGGAAGCCATAAATCTGCAGCCTGAAAGTCAGATGAACAGTAGTAATCTACTGATGCATATGGATGATAAGCTTGTTGAACCTCAGTATGAACTAAATAATGTATCAAATTCTTTTCCTAGTGGATTTATTGATTTGGATGAAATTGCTGAAAAGAACAAACAGCGTTTAATGAGGTTAGATGCGATGCAACTTTTAAATGAAGTTAGTGATGACCCTGAGTCGGTTTTAGAGCGTTTTTTTAATGAACACGATGGGATATTTTTGAATGAGTATAAGCACAATATTTTTTAATAACCCAATTCACTATTGTCTTACTTTTCAGCTAAACCAGTTCAGTTCATGGGGACGCGCGATGAAATTTCTGTAAGGTATGTATAAATGGAAAGTACGACAGTAAATTTCCTTTATAAATAATGAGCATAGGAAAATGTAATATTGGTATTTGAAAGTAATTATTCTAGTTACACTTATCAATACTTCAGGAGAGGATTAACTTCACCATCGATGGTGATGACGAAACCCGAAAGGCTTAAGTAAACGATAACAAATGTTTATCATCACAGACAAAAAGTCCTACTTTATTTCCCCCGGAGAATTTCAAGTTTATGAGACAAACTGATGTAAAAGTCAAAAATAATTGGGCATTTTCCGGATGTTCCCTGTCTTCAGATTGAGTTTCAATGCTAGTTTTGAGCTCAGTCAGTGTTGTCGACATGTTGATGTTAAGCATATTTTAGTAATGTCAGCATCGCAACATTTTGTTCGAATAGACGTAAAACGATCTCAAGAAAATATTGGGTTTTTTTATGGTGAACAATAGTTTACACGAATAATTACATCGTATAGGCGGCGGTGCATAGTTACGTCATATACGGTGTGAATCAGTCAACTCGGAATCTGTGGTCATAGATGCACTTGTATGAAACATCCAAACAGATGTATAGGTTTAAAGTGTTAAAGTAGTAAAAGTTCCTAAATGAAATCACATACTTTGAGATTACAGATATTGTGACTTTTATCTTTGATCCTTAGCATTCAAAAGAAATCCTCATGTTATTTTTATCCAAAGTTTCAAAATCAAATAAATGTATAGACTTCATATCTATGTGGGAAGATGTTCAAAATGTAGGTGTCTTGTTTGAGTAAGAGGGAGGGTAATTTTTTGACATGTTGAAGTAGGTTCATATCACCATCTAAAAATACGTATCACGAAATTTTGATATAACAGTCAGATGACTGGAAATTACGCTCACTAATTCTATTTGACCACTGCTTAGAACCAGCCGCAATTTGAACACAATCACAGTATAAGCTTCTGTTTATTTGAAATGACAGATAAGACTAGTTCCGGTTCATTTCTTTCACTTACATTTCAAAAGTGAAAGGAACTTTCACCTAAACATTATATTTATGACAGAACGTATGGCTTAGGCGGACATAAAAGTATTCAGAGTAATATCACGTACTGGCGAGGAGCGATTTCAGTAAAAAATAAAATTCTTGTAGTACAGATATATAAAAAGTACTCTATGCTTGATAAATTCGTTACTAGGAAGACACCCGGAACATTTAAGTCTACTTGTGCCCCAAACGGATTCATTGATGAATATTATTTTTCGATTAGGAAAGTTATATTCGGTTGATTTCCCTTGAATTCGGAAAAGGGTCAAAAGCTTGAATAGTATACCTTAATAACCCATTTGACACGACGAAAATCAGCAGAGGGTTGAAGTTGGTCGGTTTGGGGAGCACTTAAATGGGGACCATAGATTAGAAATACACATTTTGGTACCCGCTCTTTTAAAACAGATGACTAGGCTGTTAAAAGATGAAGTTATGAAAATATGATTCTGAATAAAAGGGAGTTTTAAGATTCGATAGAAAGTGATGACGTGATACACTGGTTTTAAGTCTTATCTCGCTAAGTATGCAGCAAATGAGGTTTGGTGTTTCTCTGATCTAACCAAGGAACTTAAAACTTCCTAAAATGGTTTAAAGAAGGAGATGATTGACTCATAAGTTAGGAAAACTTTTTCATATTTCTACTATCAGTCTGTTTTTGAAATATTTTCGTTCAAATCAAAACCAAACATTGGGTTAGGCTCTAGCTAAACGCGTTCGACAAGTCGCTGTCAGTAACAATTTACAACCTTATCGACCAATTTAAAAATTTTTAAGCAACTCAAACATTTGACGACGCAATGTGTGTAATATTATTTCATATAATGAAACTGACCAAGATCCACAGTAGACTGGTGTGAAACATGTATATTGACGTAACAGGTGTTAGAATACCCAGTTAACAGTATTAGGTTTTCCACTGTCAATCAAGATTTCTACATGTCATTTCACAATTGATTACATGCATGAACAGGATAATAAACCTTTCGCGTAGCTTATAGTACATTTGCTTCAGTTTGAATTAACTAGTGAAAATTTCCTAGGTGCTAGCAATAGCTTGCCATTATTTTCACAATTAACATGGTAGTTTTATGTAAAATCATATATATATATATATATATATATATATATATATATATATATATATATATATATATATATATATATATATATATATATATATATATATGATAAGGAGGTGAACAATGGTTTTAGCAGCAGACTCTCCTCTGTTATGTCACAGGTCCACACTCCAAGGTTTAGTAAACCAAGTGATACCGCCAACCTTCAAATAAAAGGTGTGATCCGGCTATATTATTAGTAACAAAAATCTTTAAAAATATGAAACGGATCCGGAGTTACCTAAAATTTCTAAGATTAGATCACCAGAGAAATCGAGTCTGTCATACGTTCAACAAGGATTTCAGATATCAACTAGTGTACAGACGCCTAATATTGCAAAACTTTTGTTAACCTTAACACTTTTTTAAAGACTGTATCGTGGGTTGAAGCTAGGTTCCTGAGGTTACTCTTGATGAATCCTTTACCTAGTGTGGTTTTCTAAAGAGTTGGGTTAAGTGGAGTTAAAGTGAGCATTCATAAAAATTTATTGAATTAAGTGAGATTTTCGTTACAGTGATAACCAACTATTCAAGGCCAATCAACACATTACAGACTGAAAAAATTAATAGTGTAGTATTTTAAAAATGACTATCCGGCAGAGGAAACAAAGGAAAAAAACTTGGAGAAACTGTCTAAAAGTTCCGTTTATCACACTTATTCTCAATATTATAACTGACAGTCTACTAAAAAGCAAACAAAGGAGTGATGATATTCATGGTCGCTGCGACGTTGCAAACAAAAGTTGGATATTTCATGCTTCGATATAAAACGATAGTTTCAACGTCAGTAGAAAGCCGACAGATGCATATCACAGAGGTAGATTTAGGACCAAATACTCTTAAGTTATCAGACATAAAATCCGACTGCCTTTTGCACAAATCTTTTCCATGCCTTTCACATGAACTGTGTGGAAACACATGAACAGGCATTGTTCTCTAACCAAGCAGTGCCTCCTCTATTCCACTTCTATAACTGTTTATTGATGTAGTCAGCAATTTTATGGCAGTGTTGTACACTGTTAGCCAAACGGCTTAACTGGACATGGAATGTTTCGAAAGTACCAACCGCGCAGTAAATCGCTTCTTAATTCTAGCACCTTTATCGAACACATCACAGCCATATAGGATTAAAAAACATGACGCGGTTAACTACTGAATTCCCTATCATCACGCTGTGTAAGTTAACGGAATTTAGGCAAGGATTTTGTTTCCGAACTAAGATTTTGTTGATCACCAATCCTTTAAATCGACTGCGAACCCTTCCAATTTTTTATACAAGGTTTATATATATATATATATATATATATAGCTGACTTCACTGAAGGCCAACTGAAGTGAATTTTTTCCCATATATTAGTTCGAAAGAAGCTGACAGAATCCATTGACGTAGCCCAACTTAACACAATGACCATAACAAACCCTTTCGACCAAGTGGATTATACTAATGAATATTATTTGTTCGAATACTCGTAGTTAAGTCAGAAGTAATGGTGGTCTATCTTCTGGAACAACTGTTCTAATCAGAGTTCATAAGAGGTTTTTCCGCACTGATGTCAGTGAAACGTGAATAGTTACGAGTTTCGTTAACGCTGTTTTGAAATATCTTTTAAGTGATGGATTCACCAACTGAGTGGTATTTTATTCAAGAGGAGTTTTATTGGATTACGAACATACTCTGTTGGTGTGCTAAAAACACGTAGTATGCGTAGAATGCAACTATCTGCCTCAGAATTCTAACCTAGTTTTAGTGAAAGTAGAATGAATACTCAGTGTAACTTGACAACAATATGATGCTTATCATCACCTACGACTGGTTTTAGCAATATGGGCTTTTACATGGTTAGTGCTTTTGTAAAAGTGAACCTTGAACACTGAGGTGGAGTATGCCTCCATAATTCATTGTTTATTTGATATAGCACAATGATACAGTATTATTTACTGGGTGATGTCGCGAGCAGAATTAATTGCCCATAATCAAACCAGAGGGATCGAACTATGACCAATAACTTCAGATCGAAAAGACACCCAGTAAACTATACTGTATTATTGTGTGCTGTATCGAATAAAAAAATCTAATATAGGGTGATTGTTTGTTTGTCTGTTATAAAGAAGTGAAGAGTGAGGTTGACGATGAACAATCATATTTGAGTGTTGAAAAAGTCATTCCGGCGACTAACACCTTTTAGCAGTCTACTCCATAGGAAGCATTACTCATATAAATACCTAAAAACATGACTAAAGTAGCATTTGCCGTCTAGTCAGTATGCAGCTGAAACTGTAGATGTAAGAAAAATCTGCATAAAGTAAGTTGCACTGCATACGAGATATCTAACTTTATGTTGTTGGTCCCACTCTCTGAAAGCTCGACAGCCATAAAGTGATATGTAATGTTTAAGGTCCATTGCTTTATAATCTCTTTTTAGCGATGGAAATACAATATTACTGAAAATCTTACTATTGTTATTCTAAACAAATAATTGTTTTTATAAAGAGCTATGTAGCAGCAAATATGAATTTATTTTCAAGCTATTTAACAAGTCACATAACTTTGTTGAACGTAAAAGCATGTAAGCAAAACTATTTCATGTCATACAACTAAAATTAGGGACACATTTCAGAAGAAATTAATCACCATAGCACAGTAGGACAGAAACGTGTGCAGCTGAACGACCAGGTACTATTTCATATGAATTACGTTTGTTGTCTTGGGGCTATCATACTACTTGGCAAGTGGAACGCTAGTACATGGAGCAAGAATCAGGATTTGAACTCACTGGTTAGAAGTTCTACTACCTAGTCCAGTAAGGCATATCTCCCCTAGGACAAACATCGTGGACGACAAGTAGATAACGTTGAGATATTAGGACTACACTGATGACCGACTTGGAATATATATATCGTAAACCTAGCCCCGTTTCTAAACAGCATACTTCAAGTTCAGTAACTAGTATCGCTTTCAGCAACTACCTACGAATACTTCGTTTGGGACTCGAGAAAGCTAACTAAAGTGACGAACCCAAACACGGTTTTCTGTTTTCAGAAAACGAATAAACCGCACCTACCAAATTATTAAGTGAAATTTACAATGTTCTATGGTACCTTTTCTCTTAAGCATTTAGAATATATCCGAATTCAGCTGCAGCCCAGATTTTTTCATCT